CGGCAGTGCAGATCTGAAGACAGATGTAGAATTATTTTTCTACCTATTTACTTCATATTTCTCTTTTAAATTTTTTTCTTTAAGATTTATTTTGACCCAACACGGTATTTATTTATTTAGAGACTGGATCTTACTATGTAGACCAGGCTGGGCTTGAACTCAAGAGATCCACCTACCTCTGCCTCCCGAGTGCAGGGATTAAAATAGTCCACTCCCACACCTAACAAGTCCTTCTTAGAGGAGCTCTGCGCAATTGTGCACGGTGGCTCACGCCTTTAATCCCAGCACTCGGGAGGAAAAGACAAGTGAATCTCTGTGAGTTCAAGGCCAGCCTGGTCTACAGAGTGAGTTCCAGGACAGCCAGGGCTAAAAGTTCTAAGGCAGAGTTATGCTGAGTCGAATAGGCAGGTCTCAAATGCATGATCCTCCTGCCTCGCAGGCAGCTGGAATTACGGTCTACGGCGTCATTGCTGTCTCTCTCTCTCCTTCCCTCCTTCATTCCTTCCTCATCCCCCTTTTTTTTGGGGGGGGGCTTATTTTACTTTATTTTTTTATTGATGTGTATGTGTGATGGGGGCTGTGCACATATTCCATGGTGTGCGGGTGAAGGGCAGAGAATGATTTTGGTTGGATCTCTCCTTCCATGTTTACCACAGTTCAGGGGATTGAACATAGGTCATCATCAGGCTTTTGGGGCAAGCCCCTCTACATGCTGAGCCAATTGCTAGCTGTGGTTTGTTGTTTTCCAAGCAAGGTGTCATTTGTACACCCTGAGTCGGCCTCAAACTCACAATTGCCCTGCCTCGGGCTCTCAAGTGCTGGGTTGACAAGCATACACCACCACAGGCAGCTTTTTCTCTTCTTTTTCATTTCCTTCCTTTTCCCTCTCCCCTCCTCGCCTCTCCTTTTCTCTCTCTTCCTTGTTCCTTTCTTTTTTTCCTGTGGTAAAATAAAATAAACACAAAAAACAAAGAAGAAAGAGAAGGAAAGAGAGAGCCGGCAATGATGCCCCAGCCCTTTAATTCCAGCTGCTTGAGAGGCTGAGGCAGGAAGCTCCTGTGTTTGAGGCCTGCTTAAGAGACTCATCACAGCTCTATCTCAGACTTGTCGTTGTTCTTGCTGAGACAAGCACTTTACCTCCAAGGTATTCTTCCATGGCCCCTCTTCTTCTAAATATGAGTTGGAGTAAATCACCTCACCCCACTTACGAAGTGGGGATCATAAAATCTTCCTTCCGGGGGGGGGTGAGCATGATTCCAGGAAAGAAAGGAATCAGCACAGGGCAGGCACCCATGGGCATGTGTGTGCACGGGGCACACCCTTCTGTTTGAGGCGGGTGCTCAGAGCAGTTAAACCAGTAGTCCACTGAGCCCTTCCCTATGGCTGCTGTAAAGCCCACCCAGCGCCCCACTCCCCACCGTCTCACTTGGAAAGCCTTCCATCTAGAATTCTGCAGAGAACATGCCCGGCTTCTTAGGTTGGCTCTTATTTAAAGAGATACGTTCCTGCCTCCTCCCTTCTCCCGTCCTGATCCTGAGTGATCACACCAGCTTGTATTTCAAGAAGTGAGAAACACAAATCTGAGAAAAGATGCCAGGAATGGAGACGCCTCGGGCTGACAGATTGGAAGAG